TTTAGGAGACAGCCTTGTCACAAACAAATAGAAGAAATAGCTATAGAAATGCAAGTAGTTCTTGACTTACGACCACAAATGTGCCAGAAATTTGTCGCTAAGCGAGGCCATCGTTAAGCAAAACGTTTGGTCCATTTGACAACCTTTCTTGCCACAAATGTAGAAATGGTGTGGAAATTGTGGTAAGTTTTAGGAGAAACCCTCCCATACTACCGCCTCTTACCATACTAGACGACACAGTATCAACAGTAGAGACAGTTGATACTGTAGGGTCTATCTAGGCCTAAAATGGGCACTTAACGTCAAAAATGTCATCAAAAAAGCACAACAAAGAATGTTCTGTATATAATGTTTATATAACATTCTTTCTGTGCCAATTCAGGAAGCTCAAACTGCCCAAGTACTACAACTGATCCAGTTCTAGAGAAGAATTATTGAGTCTGTCGTCTGCACCTCTATAACTGTCTGGGTTGGCTGTGCAACCCAACAGGACAGACACAGACTCCGGAGAGGAATTAGGACTGCAGAAAAATGATTACTATCAACCTGCCTTCCATCGAGGACCTGTATATCCTGCACAAGTCCAAAAGAGGGCTGTGAAAATACCTTCAGACCCCTCACATCCTGGACATAAACTGTTTCAACTCCTTCCCTCAAAACAAGGCTATAGAGCCCTGCACACCAGAACAACTAGACAGAAGGACAGGTTTCCCCAAACGCCATCACTCTCCTAAACAACTAATTCCCTCCACACTGTCCAACTATTTCCAAAGTCTGCACTATTACTGTTGACCTTCTCATCCTTCCTAGTATCTCTCTCTTGCCACTTAGGACTATAACCATGTTGCCTGTATCTTCACAATTTATATTGTTTTAGTTGTTTCCTAGTATGATTTGATTTAACTTGTGACTATCACTAAGTGTTGGATCTTATGATTCTCAATGAATGTATTTGATGTTTTCATTTTATGCACACTGAGAGCATTTGCACGAAAAACAAATTCCTTCTGTGTCCAATCATGCTTGGCCAATAAAGAATTCTGTCCCATTCTATTCTATTCTATTCTATTCTATTCTATTCTATTCTATTCTAT